CGTAGAGTCTACGTTGCGGACTATCGTGCAGAGAAGTCCGACGCGATTCGCGCAAAGGAATTAATCTTGAGTTTCAACGGAAACTAAGTGTCCCGAGTACTATAGTCCAAGATACATAGCATCTAGCGAGTGTGCGAACAACACCGTGTAGCCCATCGAGAGTTCTGTGCGAGTTTAGAAGCGTCCCAACACTGGTTGTCCATAGACCTTGGAAGATTTCCGCACGGTTTAAATCTTTAAATGGACGTTGAGCATTTCTTGTGAAGCAGGATCGATGTCTCGACCTTCGTTCGCTTTAAACAAAAAATACCCAGTTTTGTGGCAATCTGTGAGTTCGACCACCGACGTTGTTAATCATTCCCACCCATTTCTCTTCAGTTCGCTGAAATAGGGGTGTCCATACGAAACGTTTAACGCCGGAAAGAGAATGTCGTTATTCCCAGGAGAGAGAATCGAAGCTGGTTATCGGCACGACGAATGTTTGCGGTGAATTGGATAACGGTGCTCTGTTAAGACGCAAGTTCGACACGCTAGGGGACGTATGTCAGTGATAGGTGCGCGATTACGTCGAGAGTTGTCGTGAAAAAGTGAACGAATTCGGCTCGAGTGCGAGAGGACGCTTGGTTCACCTTGTCGCAGCAAAGACACCGAGGTCAACCTGTCGCTCTCCGAGGTGGTGAGCTTGCTGGGCCTCGCCGACGACGACGAGGTCCTCGCAGGCACGTCCGAGGAAAACCGGAAGAGAGCCCTGTGGCAGTTCTACTCCACGGGGATGCTCACGCACAGTCACAGCGACGGAGAGTTTCCAATTTATTCCCAGGGTGAGTGACTGAAATCCGTCAGAACGTTCCCGTGTTCTTTGCATGATTCAATTTCACCCTCCAGTGTCCATTTCCGGAGGCGAAGAATGGAAAGAATTGTCGCGTCTTATAAAACTTGTATTACCGAGGGAAAAACACGGGGACGTTGTCGCAAAACTTTCTTAATAGTAGTTTAGAACGTACGTTTCTCGATTTTCGTAGTCGAAACCTCCATTCGAAAATGCTTAGTTTAAAAAGAAATGAAGAATTCAATGGCATGCATGCACCGCATATATTACATATTACATATCTCGTCGAACTTGTATATCGTTGCGTTACTCTGCCAAATTTCTTGTACAGAGTTTTGAATTATTACCACGTAAAAAGTTGCGCCACTTTCGGTTTCCGGTGTCGCAGTTTCTTCTTCGCCTCCTTTTTCGTTCAGATATTCGAGATTCCAGGCGTGCCTGGATCGAACCAAAATTAGGCCACTCGGTCACCCACAAACACGGTTGGCATTAATACTGATAAACTCATTAGGATCGGTACGATCGGATGACCCGATGGATCAGAGGTTCCCACTCGTGAGCCACGGTGCAGGTGAACCGTATCTTCAAAGAGAACAGAACCAATAACGTCGGAAACGTTACGAAAACGAGTAGATGAAAAAAAAATCGACTAGTAATTTCAGCGGAAAAAGTTGGGAAACCCTTCGATGGGCTAACGAGGAAAATTCGAGATGTCGTTCGCAAACCTTCGCTTCGTCGGATCGAATACAATTTACGCAACGCCACGGAAAGGAGATTAATTGAAAGCTGGTCGAAGGGAGGAGAAAATAAAATAGAGCAACGAGAATTTCGTTGCGGGATCGCGACGAGAGACACTGCCAAATTTGCTCCGCTCCAAATGCGTGCAGTCGTACGCCACGGCAAAAATCCAGGCTCAACGAAAATCTACGTCACGGTGGAATGCATGCAGCTACGCGGTTGTTGCAACCGTTTCCTGCATCCTTCGCCGTCTTTCCAGCGACCCACTGAGAGACGCGCAGAGGATGCAACTGCGTAATGAATTTTTACACGGACTTCTAATTGAGCAGTTTTGCGCAAGGGAAAATTCATGGCTAATTGAATCGTTACTTCTCCCAACGATTGCGTCACGGACGCTACCGACGCGGTGTTGGCGATCAAGATTGGTGCGAACGGCTTCCGTCGCGTCCTCCCATCGTTGTTTAACGTTGCACCTCGGTGGATCCTTCGACACCCAAAAATACTTCTACTTTATTTATCATACGTAACACCGAGCTGAAACATGACGTCAAGTGGTCCACGATAGTCGGCTGCAAAGACTCGCGAGAACTGTTTGAGGACACGTAGAGCCTTTTTGCATGATGCTCGTCGCGTTAGCTATTGCTCTCCGTCGCTCGATAAAAGGAATCCATCGAAAGAAGCTGATTTACGGCGAAAGAATTCGCCACGCAGGGAGTATGAGAAAAGTTGCAGACGCGATCGAACGACTTCGCGTTCGAGTGGCTGATAAATCACGCGTCAAGCCTGATCAGGCCGAAAAGAAAAGCAATTTACATTTTACCTTCCGCGTCGTTTCATTCCTGGCAGCGGTACGAAACGTTGGCGAACTTTCAATATTTCGTATCACGTTGATCGGCAACTTGGTGTTTGATGACTACCTTTGTCGTCAATAATCGCTGAAACAAGACATCGCGATTGTGAATTAGTGTTTTAGGGACTAGGAAGTTCGATGCCTGGAGGCGATGGGCTTGCGACGTCAGGGTAGACTTGCGCAATAGGTATAGGATTAAAACCTAATTTGTTCTCGACAATTTGTGGGTTATTTGTGGGCAACCACGTACATTTTCAATGAACGAACCAACGACAGAGTCCGATAAACGATTGTTCCATGAATAAAATTTAGGGATGAAGTAATTACAAGCTTCGAAAGAGTTTGCGACTTTGATTTCCCACGTGACGAAGAGGTATGGAAAGAAGGAGGAATAGATTTGCGACGACTAGCATACTGACGCTGGCGAGGTGTCTGCGGAATACAAACGAATCCCCCTTTCACATAAATCTTCTTCTGCCCTGACGATCGCCGTGCCTCGATACCATTTTCACCGCTGAAAAACCGAGGAGTAATGCAACCTCGTGTTTCTCGTACTTTCCCTTTCTTCTCGTTTCTTTGTGTCGAAGGTCGAATTCATTGATAGCGAACTTCGCTACCAGTGCACACCATTCGAATAAATAATGCATCATCGGAATCCATCGCTGGCCCTTAATAAATCAAAAACTTGAGTAAGTTAGCAACATTCAGGAGTGAACGCGTCGGTCTACATTACGGTTGTTTCAGCGACAACGAACGACTTCATTTCCGCGACACGCGTGGAGCATTATGGGAGCGCAAATGAAGTGCGTTCTCTGGAGAATTTCATTAAAACCTGGAATCGGCGGACGTGAATTGGACCAAGTATTCCTGGAATAATTCCTGTATTTACTCGCATTTGCGACGTAGCCTTTAGTTTTTCATCTTAGAAGCACAAGATGGACAGCTTTGAGTCTGTCTATCCAACTCAATAACGTGTTCGGTAACGACAACAATGAAAAGATCCTCGATGAAGCGAAACGTATCTTAATTCGAGGATGCGCCGTATCGAGAATGCAAGATGCAGCTCGAGGCTGGTCGAAATTAGCGGTTTCGCAGCGAGGAGACTCTTAACCGGAAGGGGGATTAATCAGATTTGCATGTAATCAGCGTGCAACCCGCGGGATGAATATTCAAAACACACATCGGGGCGTTTTCCTCGATCCGCGAAGCGCCGTGGCATCGAGACGTCGTGCGTTAGGCTCTGTGTTTATCTGCATTCATGGTTGTCGCGCGTAACCGCAGATATATCATTACCGGCGTTACGTTGGTGTCGTATCGTTGCAACGTGGAAGAGTAGCGACCGAATGTTGCGTTTCCGAAGAACGAGTTACGCTTGCTCGAGGCGGGATCGGTAGTCTTGCGTGGAAGGCGAAGGTGGACGTAATTGCAAAGTGGAAACGGAAGAGGTGGGCCACGCGCGTTTAAACTTGGACGCTTGGTAACGCTTTCGGTTCGAAGCATCGCCGGTAAAAGTAAAATACCGACCGAAAGAGGTGTAGGGAACAAGCATTTTCCCTTCCCTGTATAAAAGTCTGTATAAATTCATGATCCGACGCTGTCCGACCGACGATCCAGCTAAATGCAACGTCCTGTAAGCTTAACGTCCACATATGGCCGTTATTTCCGTCGAAACGAGAACGAGAGTGCGGAACAGTGAAAAAGTGTGACACTCGACGTCGAGGGAAAAACTGGTCGGGCATGGAACGAGGCGAGTATATAATTTCGCAGCACGAGGAATGCGGGGGATCAGAAGGGAAAAGTGGGTCCACCTCGTTCGTTTCCGCGGTGTCCCGTTTGGACACTCGCGATGGAGCCTAGTTCCAAGAAAGCTCATCCTCTTAGTAGCCCGTTAAATATTCACGGGAATCCCCGTTTGAGCGCGCCGTTACCCGGCCAACGTGTTTGCGGGACCTCCGATTCCTCTGCGTACGTGGACAACATTCTCGCCTAAATAAGAATGTCGAATAACCGGTTAAGGATAAATAATAAAATTGTAAATGCGCTAGCCATTTCACGATGCCGACCGATAAAGCGCTGGTTAGAACTTTCGAAATATTTTTTATCTTATCGTTTCGAACCTTCACTCAGATCCCGTTCATAGGAATATGATTTGATAGAACATTTAGTGGCTTCATCCGTAATTTATTGTTCGAATAAATGTTTGCTCATCTTCGTACTCTCGGGGCTTAAGCTAGGAACCTCCTCGAGAACCAGCTGCTTTTTCTGCTTCAACGTGCGCGAAACAAAGGACGTGTTAAGATTTCCTCCTTGGGAATTACGACGCGCGCGATTAAAAGGGCAGCTCGGTTTCGTTAAACCTTCAACTGCAGCCTCTTGTTTATATGTCTGTGTAGTCGTGCTTTATCCAACGTTGCTTAACGTACGCAGTAGCCTCTGCTTCTTTTTTAGCTCGGCGTAACGAGAGACAATTGGACGTTCTAATCGATTCAAATTGCAGTCTTGCAGAATCGTTTTTACGTTTAGCGATTGTCGAAGGTTCGATACGGTTTGAATGAACAGAATTGTTGAATCGAGCAACTCGGAATGTTATGTTTAATAGAACAACATACGAAAGTACAAAACTTTTGATACGTACGGTATTATCATCTTATTATTAATTAGATTACAATTTATATTAAATAATATGATATCTAAATCGATAGAAATTTATGGCGCGATGGAACGATGATATTAAATCCAAAAGTTTATTTGCATTGCGAAAACTTCTCAGCGACCCCAGCCACCGCTGCAAGAGAAAAATGCAACGATTACACCCCGTTCCTTCGCTATTTTCTATCTAAGTCGATCAAGGCTGGATGTTGTTACTTTACCCAATATCGGTGTAGGATACGGTGGGCGATGGTTGTTGATCCGGTGGATTGATGTTGTTATCGCCACCGCCGTCGTTCTCATCGTAGTAAGGTCTTCCAAACCAAAACGCTCGATTTCCACTATCCTCAGGGGCGGAGTACTCCAAATCATCTGCACTCCCAAACAAACATTTTAGTTTATCTACCGCCAACATTTATCAACTTTCTCGTATTACGTTGTCATACGTGAACTCACTTTGGTCGAACTGAGGAATCGGTTTCGCACACGCGAACACTATCGCGAAGGAAACGATCGAAAAAAACAGGAGACTTTTCTCCATAACTTCAACTTTAAGAGCAACGTCGCGCGCAACCTTCGTCGAGTTTTCGTCTGAAACGTGGCAAACCCGGCCGGTTCTTATATACGGTTATGTGGGCTACGCTATGACACTTGGAACAACATGGAACATGTTAATTCTTGTTTGAAAACGCGTTAAAGATGACGAATGTCGCTAACGAGCAGGGCAATCCCGAAAGAGTGGCGCGGCGGCTGCCTTCTCGTCGCTTGTATCACATTCGAGCAGAAATCGTTATACTTGGGTGGCAAACATGCAAAACAAGCCATTTAAGGAAATCTTTAAATCTTCCGACTCTCTTTTGTTGGCTGGTTTGAATCAAGTTTAGATATTTATAGGACCAGAATCAGTTGCTTGTATCGTTTCTGTGGCGTTTCTATTGTTTCCATTACCTAAACTGGTCAGGTGATGTTGGTCTTCGCAGGGAACTGCGTTGATATAGTAGTTCAAAGTACCAGAACCGCGGAGCTCCAAGACTCCCTGCAGCAATTGTAATCGGATGTACAACTTAACAACAACCGTGACGGCCTTTATGGAACGAGAATTTCGCAAGTTTCTGTAGGGTTGCTAGGATCAGGCGCTGTTGCGCGTTTAATTGACGCAGAAGTTTACCTCTAACGCACACAATTTCGCGAAGCAAATCTCGACAGAGGTGATTGCCCTTCTCGTTAGTCGATCGAGGAAAGCAAGCGCGAAATTTGAAGTAGCGCGGAGCCTAAAAATACATCGTTTTTGTGCGCGTTTCATTACTAGTTTTAGCACGTCGAGCAAACCTCCCTTCCTCCGATAGCAGACAAAAATAAATTCAAAGAGACTCGATATATTTTCCACATATCGCTATTTTTAAAATGTTGCATTATTTCTACTTGGACGTTAATCAATACCGACCGCAGTTATTTTTAATTATTTCACTCCCGTTCCTCTGGACACTGCGTGTCGTGTTCTTTTTTTTTCTTCTGTCGTTCTAATTTGGAATTCTTGTCAACAAGATTCTTTACGCGAACCGCCTACCGTGCTTTGTTAACTTCGTCTTCGAGTTTGCGAAACGCGACGGTAATTTGCAAAACTAATTGTCAGTTTCCGTTATCAGGAAGGCACGCCTAGCGTCAGGTTTAGTTATCGGTGGACGTGCAGACACGATAATGGAGTGCGTGCGCGCCTAAGTAGAAAATGACCCTAAATCGGGAACGCGAATGATAATGAAAGCGACACTAATTTGGGAACGATAATTGGCACTGTATTACGATAACGTAATTAACAGGCAATTCCGGTAAGTATACGTTCTTGCGCGTAACAATCGTTGACAACGAAACGCTAGAAAATGCTCGAAATCGAGCAACCGTGTACATTCGATGGTCTCTTCATCGGTATTCCATAAAAACCGTATCACTCCTTGAACAAGTGAACTCGAATCGCGAAGCTCCTAACGGTGGCTGAGAAGAGATGCTTCGTTAATCGATTATCGTTATTAGGTTACCGCTGACGAGCGGTTCGGAGTAGTTGGTGAGCCCCTGTATCCCTCTCTGTGACGTTCAGCTTTGTTTCCTACGAGAACACGACGAAGGAAGTCGGTGGCTGATTTCGTTCGGGATCGATGAAAATGCTTTTAGCGACGTGCGTTCGTTTAGCTGCGCGATTGTTCCAGCTTGTCCTGGCCGAGCGGAAAACACGACGTCACGTGCCAGTGTCGTGAATGGACAAACGTTCATTGAATAGTTAAGATCTGCTGGCGCGCTTCCGCTGGGAAGAGCGAAGCGCGTTTCGTGCGGGTTTTGTTGTTTCGTCGGGTAGCCGCTGTCCCTCGTTTTTCTCTGCACAGACTCGACGTTTCAAATCAAAGCTGGACGAAATTCTTATCTGCATAGAAGCCGTAGCAGGAATGCTCGTGCAAATCATTCTCGTGTATGAAATTTCGGGTGTGTCTGCCTTGCAATTGTCCTGTAACGAGCGTCTCGTCTCGCGTACTTTATTTAGTTTCAATTGATTCACGTCGTCGGAGACTGCACCGTGGCTTTGCGTCGTACCGAATTAGCGTGTTATTCGATCCAATGAAGTCCGTAGGCTAGCTCGCGTAATCGACGTGAGAGCCACCATTGTGGCAGATAGTTGGTCGATATGTACATCGGAACGCATATTGCGATGTATTGATCCTACATATCCATCCACACGCTTATTTGCACCGATGCAATATTCAATTCGATCCGACGAGACGCTAAAACAAAGACTTATCGGCTATTTAACGCTAGGATATCTGTCTTCTCGCTTCTACGATAACTAGCAAACTTTACACGGAGTGATAGTCGAGTGACATAGTAATCATCTATTCTTTGCCCATCTATTTGTAAGTAAAGCAGAGGAACATTAAACAGGTTGAACGCGATTAATAATCGCAAGGACGGCGACTGTGATAAAACTCTCGGACTCGATCAACCGTCTACTCTTCGTCATGGAGGCATCCCTTTGGGGTGCTAGTAGCCTAGAATCAAGTTCGGAAGATAAAGCACCGTCAAATAAATCGCGCAACGGGACGGCCAGAGAAAATGAATCACCTGCAGCGTACGTGCGCGACACGAAGCGCAATCTCCGCATTGCGAGCAAGAATACTCAACGACCGTGGTATCCGTAATGTCAACAATAACCTACGAAGGATCGATACTCTAAAACGCTCTCCCCGAAGGTCTCCGGTATGCATGCAGCTTCCATACTTAGCACGCTACCGCAGCAAGCGATGGAAATTATAGCGACCGATCGGAGCGATTCATCTTCGAGCCTGTTATCAAAGAACGCTATAGAGGTATTGCTCAGGGTAGAAAAAGAATGGACGAAAGGGTTACGTCCCGCAATAAATCTCCTCGCTCTCGTTCCTGTGGCTACGAGTCGTTGATTCTGCGGCCGATCCTCCGCGAATACTTAGGGCCAGGCATTGTTCGGTCTCTCGTCATTTTTTCTTTATCGTTTATGTAAATTTATTTGGGTATCTACTTAACCGATCATCTCAAAATATGCGGGAAAATTAATTTACCCCAGGCTTGAGTTATTTAATATCAGTCCATTGGCAACCATCGTATAGGATTAAAGTGATTTCACCGGAGTACCTTTTGTAACCACGAGAATCCCGTTGTATAGCGCCAGGACGAAGTTTAGCGAGTAAGGCTACTTCGTAATCTAATCCAAAATTCCTCGGTCAGAACATACATTTTCTGGTTTCAGGCTTTTCAGCCAATTTGCTAGCGCGATCCGTTTCTTTCGTTCGTCTCAGATCGAATCGAATCACGTTCCGTGCCCCCATCGACTTCGACGAGCACTTTGGGGATCCGAACAAGTCCCTGAGTGGTGCGGCCAGTAATACTCTTTCCTCGTCGCGAACCCTAAATTGGTCAAGTGGAATTCTCAGGTGGGAGAATCGTTTAATCGGTCGAAGCTGTTGAGAACGCTCTATCTTGCAGGACGCAAATCCTATTTTTATTTTAAGTATATAAACACAGTTTTCGTACGGTTCCAAATCACATCGAAAGGACACGAAAATGGGACATGGTCTATACCGACCATGCGCTCGAAGTTTGTTGATGTTTTTCGTGCATGTGTTCTTACGAAACGACGTTTCGAGACTGTTTGCGACGAGGTGACTTCCGTGTTTGAATTGCCATTATCTAAGGATGTTACGCGATTCGAAGAAAAACATGTTTGCTGTTCCCATTGGCGTTGCGTTCGAGGGCGAATCGCAGCGTCGAGCGTGCATGCGATGCAGTGTATGCACTCGAGCAGAAGTTAATGCACCTTAGTTAACGCCGGTCATGTTTGGCCGTCCGCACATGTGACGAGTGTACATAAACGGAACGCGATCCTCCGATTGAAACCTCGCATTAATCGGTCGCTGCGAAGTTTTCCGATGCATCCCAGCGACGATAACAATTTTTTCCTCGTTGTAGGTGGTATTTGAAAGTCTACGAGTGCGCAAAGTGCTATAGCACGGCGACCTCGACGGTGTCAAGGTAGCGAGCTAGTTTTGGCGTTGCTAAAGCGTTCGTGATCGCCGCATGTAGAATTTGCATCGTTGTAACCGACGGAGTTATTGTCGTACCTCGGCCGCCACCGCCAAAGTCCAAGTAGATCGCAAAAAGGCTAGTGGAATTTGCACGGGTCTCGGACTCCTCGTGTAGTACATAAAGATACAGGCAACAAGAAACCGCGTTACGTCTGGATCTAAGAATGCCGAACGAAACCGGTTTCGTGTCATAAGAAATGGCCAGTGAGCGCGACTCATCCTGGCATCGAGCACGTGCTTTTCACCTATCTAAATGAAATCCGTGCAAACGTGCCGCGAAGAACAATCCGTTCCAGACTCGCGATCTTCCATCGAACCTCTCCCTGCCTCCATTCCTCCTCCGTCTCGTCTATAAATAATTTCACGGTATCAACGGAATCGATCAACGTCGATTGTAATTCACTTTTCTAATCGCGACTCGTTCTATAAAAACGTCTCTCGGCTTCTTTTTGCACTTCGATACGGCCACGATTATTATTAACCCCGTTCATCGATCACACCACGAGCACGAGGCTCCCGCGGAGCTTCGATAGTCTGTGCAGAAAAACTTGAAGTCGTTTCGGGCTCCGTATCTACCGACAGATTAGAAGCAATTGGTAGATCCCGGAGCTAACGAGCCGAAGAATTCCCTTTTTAAATTCCAGCTCGGTATTCGCAGCTCTCCGTGACAACGATTAGCGTTTCGCGTGGAAGATGCAGCGCGCGCGAAGATCGATCCATTGCACACGGATCACCATGACCTTCCCGCGTTAGGCTAAAAATCCCACGGCCTATTTGCGTCAATCCCTATAGGCTGTTGTGCATCGATACGGTCTATTCTTAGAGGCAGCGCCGCGGTGTAGCGGAGCCACGACACGCCATGGTGCACACAGTCCAATCAACCGTCGGTCGACTGGTCACAGAGGTGTTCTCTTTCCGTCGCGAAGGGGACAGTTCACGGCGCTACACTGTTGATACAGTTGCAACGACGGAAGCCTAGCAAGGTGTGGTGGTCGCGGCACGTTCCTGCACGATGTAAACAGGCCGACCAGGTCGAGCTCCAGTGCACCCGATACCGTTGACGAAGACGGCCGCGTTGTTCCACGACTCGTCGACGAGTCTCGTCCATCGAGGAACGTGGCACCAGAGCTCGAGGTGTCCTTCGCGATCGTCGAACGTGATTGGAAATCTGGTACCCTGGAACTTCCACGTGAACGGAATTAAAGCTGAGAAACGAAGACAGGGACCGTTTATCGCCCATTCTGAGACTTGCGAAGAACGATTGCTGCGAGGACACAGGTATGATTCTGCCCCGAAGAAAGTCGACGGGCACGAGCGAAGGATAGTACAGGTGCGAAATGCGACACCCGATTCCGCGGAAACGGAGTTTACAGTTTGCGGTCAGTTCAATCGATATCGTCTACGTGACGGCTTCTTCGCGAATTGGTTACTTTATTTAAAGAAAAACTCGTGCACGGGTGAAGTTGATCGATCGCGAATTTCTATAAACTTCCACTATTCGGATGCCACGCGTGATGTGGGCCGCTCGATGGCTAATCGTCACGAGCTAGCTAATCGCAGCCTCGCGCGAAGTGTTAACAGATGGGCGGATGCAACGAACGAAGCGCAGAGAAAACACAGCTGTGAAACGTAACGCGTGATTATACGTATCTGAAGCTCGGATAGATGCAGGGAAGAAGGGATCTAGAGGTCCAGCTCCTCGTTTCGTGCCGTTTCAGCGACCGTAATCGGATGAAAGGTGTGGCGCCTTTCCGTCGACAACGTTTCGAGTAATCGTCGCAAGAGACGCTATAACGGAGGTCTGTTGCAAGTAACGAGGCCCGCGGAGGCTCCATCACGCTCCCAGGCGACGGTCTCCGATATCAGACTGCGTTAGCGTAATACAGTGGATTAACTGATACGCGATAGATCGATGGAAGCCTCGCAACAAAGCGTCAGGCACATGCACCGTCACGCGATACAGTTCAAGTGCATCGTCGGAGAGAAACAAACAAACGATTCCGTGCTTATTCAGGCGATGCCAATAGAGACTCTTCGGTGCTTTCCAGTGTACCGTTTCGTCTGAACGAAGTTACCCGATAAATTGAACGAGGCACGGTAAAGATAGAGGTGTGAAATGTTACGACGGAATCGAGATACAGGTATGAA